GGGTCCAAACACACTGTATCAAGTAGGCTTAGCAGATTTGTTAGGGACACAATTTCCTCTTCCCTTAGGCCTCTACGAAACCCAAAATCCCAATTTGGTGTTAATGGATTATTCATAAAGGAGCAAAACTTTGAAACTGCCTCCTTTTTGTACCTTGAGATAGAGAACAAAGAAGGGAAGAGGTCCTTCAATGGAGCCTCACCGACCCATGTATCCTCCCAAATAAGAACAGAGTTACCATTACAAACATCATACCTGACAAAACTGAGAAACTGAGGAAGGATGCCATGAATAGCTTTCCAAGGAGTTGCCAAGGTTGCCTGCCGTGATACTCTAGCATCCCACCCATTATTAGAGCGACCATGAATACTACCCACCACCTCATGCCAGAGCCTCTCTCTCTCCATTGGCCACCTCCACAGCCACTTCCCCAGCAGTGCTTTATTCTTTTTAATCAAATTCCCTAACCCCAATCCCCCCTCCTCTTTATTCCGGCATACAATCTCCCATTTTATCAAGTGATCCTTCTTACCTTCTCCCGGTTCCTAGAGGAAATCTCTCATCACCTTCTCTAGCTTCCTAGCTTCCCTAGGTGGTATCCTAAACACAGATAGGAAATAGGTTGGTAGGTTAGCTAATGTGTCTCTTATCAACATGATTCTTCCCCCCAAAGAAATATAGTTTTTCCTCCAAGAAGTCAATTTCTTTTGAAACCTCTACACCACTAGACACCAAAGACTACTTTCCCTAGGGTTTGCTCCTAACGGAAGCCCCAAGTAGGTCATAGGCCATGACGAAATAGAACACCCTAAGCTTCTTGCTATAGCCTCCACCTGACTGTCCTCCAAGTTAACCCCAGCTACACAACTCTTCCCAAAGTTGACACTCAGATTTGACACCCTCTCAAAATTCCTAACCAGATCCTTGAGATTTCTCACTTTCTCAATATCGTCCCCTTCACAGAAAATCAAAATATCATCTGCAAATTGGAGATGGGTGACCAAAATACCATCCCTACCTATCCTCCACCCTTTAATCATTTCTTCCCTGTCAGCCTTTGAGATCATTCTATTAAGCACCTCTGCTATTAGAGTAAAGAGGAAGGGTGATAGCGGGTACCCTTGTCTGATACCTCTACAAGCTAGGAAAAAGTCCACCACTCCATTAACCAGGACAGAGTAATGGCATGAACTCACACGTCCAAAAATCCAACTGCACCATTCCTTCAATATTTTCTTACTTTGAGGAACATAAGTCATGACTCTTGGTTCATGCTCTTTTGGGTGGTGGGCTTATTTATTTTTGGATCTGCTATAGGGCCATAGCCCTTTGAAAGAGAACAAAGGTATAGAACTTATGCAAATCTTTCGGTAAAAACCCAAAAAGAAGTAAAAGCTCCTCCAATAATCAAGCTGATGTTTCGCTGGCACGAAGGCCGTGCGATCCGTTGAGTTATCATGAATCCTCAGACCAACGGGCAAAGCCCACGTCAACCTTTCAGTTTTTCTTTGACCTTCTAAACATGTTTCCTCTTCTAGTTGGTTTCCTTCACTTGTAATTTCTCTAGTGCTTTGCTTTTCTCCTTATCATTTTGTTTGGTTCATTTCAAGTGAAGGGATAATCTCTTTCTCTCTCTCTTTCTCGATGAGTTGACCTGATAAGAAGGCCTTTTAATTTGGATTAGGTTTTGATTRGTTTCTCCACATCTTGTTGCAGTTCTTGATTGAGATCCAGGCTGAATAGAAAAAAGAATCAAAATGACTCCTAAACTACTTATTTGATAACAATGAAAAGATAAATACAACTCATAAACAACTAGAAAAACTAGATCCTAAGGTCCGGACCCACTTCTATGAAAAGTGACCAAAATACCCTGGTCCCAAATCCCAAGAACCAGCACTGTATCACATCATGGCCTCTTGGTTAGTCTTTTCCTTCTAGTTCATGTTTTCAAAGGCTTATTGGATCCTCATCACGTTTCCTCTAAACTGTTATTGGTGTAAAATGTCTTCTTGCACATGGAGGCACCATTGCATGGTATGTATGTTAATTTCTTTTGGCAATTTGTTTGTGAAAATTCAATGTGGTTGATAGTAGTAGGTAAGTCTTTTGGTTATTATCTAGGATGCACGGTGAAGAAACAAGTTCTTTCATGGTTTGCTATGAATAATTTAATTTGAAATTTTGTAGGTATGTACCTCAGAAGAAGAATGTAGATTTTCCAAAATAAGTGAGCTTTTTGTATATGAAAACTTCAGTAGGGTTCCTGTAGAGAGAGTGGAAGCTGGTGATATCTGTGCCGTATGTGGTGTTAGTGATATACAGGTATGTATTTTTTTTTTTAGTTTTATGTCATTTTCCTATGAATTCCATGATTGATTTTAAGAAGATGCTATAGATGGAAATTATGGTCTTTTTCCTCTAGTAATTGAATCTGTATTTCTTTTCTTTTAAGTAGATTGGGGAGACAATTGCTGATAAAACTTCTGGGAAACCATTGCCTACCATTAAGGTTGAAGAGCCAACAGTTAAAATGTCATTCTCTATCAACACATCACCTTTTGTTGGCCGTGAGGTATGGTTTATCGATCTTGATGAAAAGAAGAATGTATACTATTTATACACATAAAATGATATAATATAGTACATTATGTTACCCAGATACAAGGACACGGCTGTATATGGTGTCAGATGTGGAATTTGCACTAAAAATTGAAGTATCTCACACAGTTTGGCACCCTTGTACAGTTGTACATAGAGATGCTGATGCTAAAGTTCCACTTACATGTGCTTAGAGGCAGAATTCAAATGTAAGAGTTATGTAATAGAAAAGTTTTTTCACATAAAGGAACCGCGAGAATTTATTCTTACTGGTTTGCCAGACCAGTTAGGCTGAATGACTCTTCTTGCAAATTTTCTGAGTATATTTCCCACCACAATGTGATTTATCTCTTTGTTGTCTAAACAAAATAATATTGGTGAATTAATTTACCTTGAATGCTTTCTTTCTGTATGGGACTATTTTTTTGAGAACCCCTGTACAACAAGTGACCGTACATTGGGGAATTTACAAAAGGTCATTTAAAACTCAGCATGGATGATTACAAAAAAAGACATCCATATCAAAAAAGTGTTGTAAGGTCTTCCTTTAAAATGAGGTGATGGGGCACCATAACAAAAGCATTCCTTTAATCTCTTACCCCCTACTGTCCTCATTGGCTTTGTTTTCAAATGTACAACTGTCCCCCCCCCC